GAAGAAGTAGAAAAGCAAAGAATAGCTCGAAGGAATAGCTAAGAATTATTTCAAGCAGCAGGGGACATTTTCACCGGATCAGCATTAGTCTGGTTTCGAATGAATCGAAATCGGTGTTCTAATTAGATTAGGCGGTTACTCAACTAAAGCAGGCATTCAGGGACCCTGATTAAAACAGGTTGTTGATGAACGAGATAGTCCGCCGGACGCAGGGCGTTAGGGAGTCGTCAGCTGTATATATGGCTAAAATTAGATAGCTTATGGGCAGTCAACACAGATGACCGAGAGAGAACAAATAGTCATAATTAAAAGGAATTAAAGGCCTGAATACTTGACACTACTGAGCATAACGCGAGACACGGACGTCGATGAGCTGGAAGAGATACTTAGGGAGTTATCTTTGGGCTGAGTGCTTACCACGAGATTTAGGGAACCTCTGTCCAGCGGAATGTTAGAGCCTGATTGGGGGTACCATCAAAATCAAGGCAGGAACTTTATAGACATCGCTCCTCTTAATAGGAAGGCTCTCTAGAAATGATTTCAGATACAGAAGTGGATGTTATGAAGCAACAGAAACGTTCCGAGGTCTGCAATGCGGTTCGCTAGAACAGCAATCAATCAGGACACCGTTTCCGAGATTGCAAGGAATCTCAGCGTGTTTTCTGTAATGGTTGCGGTAAGAATGGTGTCAAAATATACGGGTGTGGACAGTGTTGGAATTGAAGAGCAGGCATGGCCACAAAGAAGAGAGAAGGAAATGCAGAGGGGAACTAAGTTTATCCCACACCTCTCTGCCATATGTGGGGTATCCTGAGGAAACCCGTGAAGAGATGTTAGCTGGGTTTGAGGAGTGGACTGATAGATAGAAACTTAGCACATCTGGTCCTCAGAATCAACGACCGTATCAGCGGGTGAACATCTCTGAACGTTCCATGACGGGTTTACTTGACTCAGGCTTCCTGGACGATTTTGGGTAGATCTGGTTGGGAATTTATTAAAGGTCAATTACACATGGGACCGCTAATATTAGGAGCATTGTTGTTTCGAACGGTCAAGGTTGCTCCGTTTGAGATGAAGTAACTATACCCGCTAAGTTAGAAAATAGAGTGAGGGATAATTACAACGTTATTGGTGTTAGTGATATTAATTACGCTCCTGATCGAACTATTTCTTTAATTCTTGCAGTAGATTTTTGAAAATCAACGGGAGTCGTCTTAGATTTAAGTAATGATATTTGGACGTTCACAGATCCCACTGATATAGGTGATTGTCATTTAACAAGTCCATCGGTTTGAGAGCAATCGCTTAGAGAATTTGAAAGGGAGCAGCTTCAAGAAGTGCTCCGTAATTATTTATATCGGGAAGGACCGAAAATTGGATGAGTAAAGAACTATACTCATAAAATAGATACTAATGATCATCCACCAATGAAACAACTTTATTATTTCGTATCGCCTGCAGTTCTCAGAGAAATGCATAATGAATTGGAGATCTGATCGCAATGTGTATCGTCGAGTAAAGTAGCAGTCGATTGTCCTCACCTGTTGCAATGGTGCGAAAACCCGATAAATCATACAGGTTCTGCGTAGACTGAATACAATATCGAAGAAAGGTGCTTATTCATTAACTCACTTATCAAAGATATTAGACTACCTAAGAAACGCAAAGTATCTGAACACTCTGGATTTAAAATCAGCATATTGGAAGATTTGTATTCGGACCGAAGAAGGATGAGTTAACCGGAGAGTTCAGACGGTTACACGACACCGAATTGCGTGAACTGTATCCGGGTAATATAATTGAGGTAATTTCATCGCGGTGAATCAAATGGACTTGTAAAGTTGTTGGACTTAGTAACGAGAGAATTCCTAAAAGGTTAATATTTGCTGTGCTGAATGGTAAGCGTTCGAGGGATAGACCGAAGCGAAGGTGGGAAGATTGCATTAAAGCCGATCTGAAGGGACTGGGATTGGACGGCGAACGGTGGAGGGAGGTGTGTAATAAGCGATTGGTGGTGTCGGCATCGAACCTTCGGGTTCGTTAAGCCTTTTTATTATTATTATAATTATATTGGAAGATTGGTCTGTATGAAGAAAGCTAAGAGAAGACGGCGTTTACGGTACCTGGTGGTGAATTGTTTCGATTTAACAGGATGCCTTCGGCCTTCGTAATGTTCCCGCTACTTGGAAAAGACTGACAGATCAAGTGCTTGGGTCTAAACTGGATCCATATGTTTTTTGTATTTGGACGACGTGGTGATAGTAACGCTAGATTTTCAGTTGCACCTCGAGAACCTTAAAAGGGTTTTAAAGCAGATTACGCTGGCATTACACTGAATCAAGAAAAGTGTACGTTCGCTCCTGAGGAGCTTAAGTACCTTGAATACCTTGTGAACAAGAATGGACTACGAGTAGATTCAGAAAAGATGGCCAGTGTATTTAATTATTCACGTCTGAAAAAAATTCCTCTAATTCGAGCGTTTACAGGACTAGCATCTTGGTACTGAAGATTTGTTCTATAATTCGTCTCGAGGATGGTACCACTTGCGCATCTTTTGCGCAAGAGTCAGAAGTAGAGCTGGGGCCCGGAACAGGATGCTTTCTTAGACATTAAAACAAAATTGGTAGAAGCACTGGTTTTAGAATGCCCTGATTTTACAAGACCGTTCATTGTACAGGAAGATGTCTCTCCAGTTGGATTAGGAGCAATTTTGTTGCATTAACTCGAATAAGGGGAGAAAGTTATTGCTTATGCTAGCAGAGCTTTGACGCGAGGCGAACAAAAACTCCTCAACTGAGTTGAAATGCATAGCTGTCATTTGATCAATTGGAAAGTTTAGATCTTATATTGAAGCCACTAAATTTGCGGTGTTCACGGACCATCATTCTCTTATGTGGCTACATTCGTTTGCAAGATCCAACTAGTCGACTAGCCCGGTCTGCAGAACTACGATTATCATATTCAGCACCGACCTGGGAAGGAACATATGGCAGCTGATGCTTGATCTCGTGCAGTAGATGACGCACCTCCAGATCCCATCTCGATTCTAGAAGTAGTTATTAATGGAGAGGGACTGATCCCTGACACCAAAACATAAAGTACAAAGTCACGGTAATACGGAAGACTTCCCGACTTGGCATATAACGGAAGATCGTCTAATCAAATATGTGTTTGAGAGAAATCCGTTAACAGTTGGCAAAAACCGATGGAAGCTGGTGGTACCAAGGCACCAAAGAGGAGCAGTTTTCATACAATACCACGAAGACCCTACTGCAGGACATATATAGATAAATAAAACAAAGAAAAGAATTGCCCTATATTATTTCTGGCCAGACATGATCCGGGATGTCGCTGGATTCGTAAAAAAATATCCTCCTTGTCAAATCATGAAACCGGAACAGAAAGCTCCTGCTCGCTTGATGGGCATGACGCCCGTACCTTCAAAACCCTGGCATGTGGTTTCTACAGAACCTGTGGGACCATTTCCACCTTCATCGAAACAGAATAGGTATATGTTGGTGGTAATTGATTATTTTGCCAAATTTACCCTGCTTTTTCCATTAAGACAGGCGACAGCACAGGCAGTAACAAGATACGTAGAGAACTACTTGTTTATGTTTGGGGTGCCTGAAGTACTATATTGTGATAATGGTACGCAGTATACCAGTGAAAAATTTAAGAATGTACAGTACAGTATTCATTGTCGGCATAACCAGGTATACAATCCTCAGGCTAACCGTACTGAGGTTCTGAAAACTATGATATCATCTTATGACAAAGATAAACATCGATCATGGGACAGACATATCGCGGAGTTCGGCTTTGAGCTGAGAACAGCTAATCACAAGACAACAGGCTAAACTCCAGCCTTTCTTAACTTTTGATGCTAGTTATTCAGCCACGCTTCCCGATAAGTGGTTTGTGATAGATAAAAGAAAATAACTACCATCGACGTTAAAGTTAAAGTTAATCCTGGAGGATGTAAAGAGTTGGTTGCGGCAAGACCAAGAAAAAAATGCTCGACGTTTTAATCTTAGACTTATTCCAGTCAAGTTTGTTGAAGGTCAGCAAGTATAAGTTAAAACGCATACCCTCTCGGACTTAAGTAAATACTATACAGCCAAACACGCACTGTAGTATAAAAAGAGTGTGGTCGATAAGGCTGGATGACCGTTGGGAAACGGACAAATCTAAGAGTTGAAAGCCGATTCACCAGGGACTGTAAACAATTCTGAAGAATGCCCTTCGCCAACCCCAGGAAGAGAGGAGATTGTGACATTTGACAAAATGATAAACAAATAATAATTTGAAAAGAAGATAGGTGTTGGATTATTTCTTGGAAAATTGTGCTAATTATTTTTGGTTAAAGTCGTCCCTTATGTAAATAAATTGCCTTATTGTGGATCTGTTATCAATCATTTAACATCACCTTCAAAGAAAAAGTAGTCTATTAGGAAAGACTCATTCCACCTCCACTGAATAAGCTTTTATTAATTATAATTATAATTTTATGATTACTTTTAAGTTTAAAGAAACGTAATAAGTGAGGTAGTCACCTATCTTAGAATTAGGATTGGGGAACAATTCAAAGTGACGCCTTACTTGGATACAATTATTATTTCATTTCTAATAGTTATATTCCTCAAAAAATTATACCAAATCGTAACGATATTTGATATATTGTGTGTTTTGGTTATATAGGAGAGAGGTGTAAACAAAATATATCGGTGATTGTTTCATTTGAGAAGTAAATTTAAAATTTTCACTATTTGCGACTTGCTTGTGCTGGTTTATAATAATATTAAATGGTAATTTGATTAAAATACATATGACTCTTTGCAATCATTAAATCGTAAATAACAATTACATACTATTTACAAATCAACTGAAGATGTAATAATACGTAGGAACAAAGGTGATGTTAAAACACCAAAAGAAGTAGATTTTACATCTATCTCTCTTTTTTTTTTTAACAATTCACTTCTAAGCAATATGGATATTGAATAACTGTTGTATATCAAAATTTTATGCAATTCTTTTTGTCCAAATTGATTTTTTTATTGTAATGCTTTATTGTTTATAAACTATATTTTTATTTATTGAAAAGTTAACGTGTTTAAGCCTATTTACTTTCATAGTTATCCAAGTACGTCACACCCCCATTCAACAAATATCGACTCGTCCAACCGAGCTTGTTTGCTTGCCCCTTCAGGTTCAATGTTTTGTGGTTTTACTAAAATGTAAATGAATAACAAAGTTGCGTGTTTTCGTGAAAAAATTATTATATTTGTGTGGATAATCTACTTCTTTGCTTAGTGGATTCTTATCAGTGCTAACTAACAAGATTGTGAGATGTGTTGTTCAAGTTTATTTTTTATGTTAGTAGTACACAAGTTTATGATTAGAACATTGCCACAAAGAAGTACAGGAGTTAATTCTACTGTGTTATAAAATTGCTTAGGTTTACTATATTTGTAGTTAGGTATTATTAAATATATTCGAAAATCAGTTTTGTAAAGCATGTTAATTTTCCACAAGCCCAGGTGATTATGAGCATATCATATAGTTCAAAGCTGGTTAAACTGGAAACAGTTGTAGTAATTTTATTATTTCTATGTTAATGAGCAGTTTGGTTATAACAATAACTTTCATAGTGGGTTTTACAAAGCCTTTTTTTTAGTTCTCCAGTCAGTATCTGAGATGTTCTTGTCTCTTCTGATGGAAGTTTTTATCAAATATTTTCCAGTTGGTTATACTTTTGACAAAAACATTTATGTTAGTAAATGATTGTTTCGTATTGCACTTTCCTATATTAATGCATCCTTCATTTATAAGTATATCGCATATTTAATTGTTTATGCATATATTTTGATTTGATATTGCAATTTAATGTCATTAATTTTGTGATGTCTAATTTGTACTTAAACTGTATAGTTTGAAGACTGTTTCAACATTTTGATTAATGTTCACCTTGTACTTGGTTGATTGTATAAATACTTTTGTGACATATACTCATACAAATTGTTATGTTTTGATAAGTGACATGGAAATATTTGTCTTGGTTAACTGATGCTTTTATTGAGCATTTAATTAATTATTATACTATTGATTTCACCTTATTGTTATAGTATAGTCCGTCAAATAGTCATACTTATTTTATCGTTGTTGACTTTGTGTACATTTGTGATATACCTTTCAGTTGCGATTTTATTGCTTTGACTTTTAATTTTGCACTTCAACGCAGTTTTGGTATTTTTAAAACAATTATACTTATTACCTAAGTGTCGTTAATAGGATTGAGACTATATAAAGTTTTAGTGCTTTTAATTGTGTTTATTTCAATATCATCAGTGAAGCTGGTGGTTATTCTTCTACAAAGGTTATTATCAAATGTTTGTGGCATGTGAAAGGAAGAAGCTATTTGAAAAAAATATCCCACCAAGTATTGTAATTGTGATGCCTGGAACATTTAGCGTTCGTCTGTTTATATATGGAGGCAGTTGTTCACCTGGACCGGCCAGCCACAATGCCTTCTCAGTCTCAGATGTCTTATTCAAGAACTACTGGTTTGCATGGGTATGTATATGTTTGAATAAACATCGGTTGTTTAATGTTATATTTTACTTCAATTTGTTTAGAATTTATCTTTTATGTATATGTTTGTACATGTAGATAATTATGTAAATACGACCTGGACCTTTCTCGATGTTCCTATTATTTAGAAGTATTTCAATTTTCAGAGCTAATGTGCTATGATGTACAGTTTCGGTCATTTCTAGTTTCACTTTGTTTTCATAGTTTTTGTTCACAAATTTTTAAATAGTACTACATATTTATAATCTTTAGTGATCTAAGATTGAATATTGAAACACCACTTGTTCACTAAATTCTATCCGCCATAAGGCCTTTTTTCTCCTTTAACATTATTTATGTGATTTGTTCAGTAAATATGTTATTTGATGGATTGATCACATATATAATGTAGTATGAATTAAATTGCAGATTTAATAATTACAGGCTATGAAAGCCCAGCTGATTGTTGACACCTTCATTGTACTGTTATTTATCACAAAATAACTTGAATTTTCATAATTATCACTATATTTTACAATTTATGACTTTGTGGTCGTAGTATTAATGAATTGATTGTGGTTTTGAGCAATTATTAATATATAGAAGCTTTCGAATTCCTTTTTCTGTATATCTATTGGATTTAATCATTGTCTGTCATATCTTGTTTACATTTATGAAAATGAATGAAATTAGCTATGAAGTTGGTTGCTATTATAATTAATCACCAATTTGTTTAATTCTATATTTTGTAGTTATAATTTACAGTTTTACTCATTTCATATTTTTGTAATACTTTTCAATTACCTAAAAATTTAAATAAAGTTTATTTTGAATACATATATATTATTTTTTTATGTGATTAGGTTATAATTTAAATTGAATCCTTTTTATACTTTTTTGAATCGTTTGAAATCTCTATGAAGAAAATTTTTGTTAAAGTTTCATTTTGACAAACTTAAAGAGAAAAAAAAAATCAAATTAAATGTGATATAATGTATAATTAAACCTTAGATAATATAATAATCAGATTTAATTTGAAATTTTACTATGGCACAATACTTTGTAATAGTTTTGATAAAAGATTTATGCTTCGATTGGAGTTACAAACTTATTAAACAAAGTTTATTGTATAATATGCCTGTTATCAAGAAATATAATTTTTAATTAAATCACATAAAAAGATTGTTATTATATTTCATTCAACATGATTTCCAATGGTTAGGTTTTGAAATATTTTTAGATTACTTTGAGGTTATCAATTTTCCTTTCTTTTATTAACTAAACATTATGTACATAATAAAAACATAATATATTGTTTATTAAACTTTTTAACAATTTCTTAATTTTGTTTTTATGTATTGTTTATTCTTAACCTTACTTCAAAATCAAGTGGTTCTAATGACTAAACTAGAATATTTTTTATTTTGTCACATGTAGAAATGAAATATTCGCCAATTTTCCTTGCTGAATAAATTTTTTTTTTTGATAAGTTTTAATTTACAATGAAAAAAAATAGTAAAATACCGTTATTAGTTGATAAATACTGATTAAACGCATGAAAATAATTACATAAACCATTAAATGATCAAAATTTATAATAAGTTAAGAAATCTTATAATTATATAATAATAATTGATATATACGTTTTATCACCTGGTTCTTATGAGCTTGTCTTATGTTTTTTAATTTAATGCACTGGTAATACTTTTATTGTTAAACAATTGATATAGACAAAAATCTGGTTTTAGGCGTTTAATTATATTGTATTTCTAAAATAAAACAACATTTCTATTTGGATATATACCTATTACTTTTAAAATTTTTGCATAAATTATTAATATTCTCAATGATAATATTTTTATTTTAAAAAAGTAATATTAAGTTGGTGCTATAGCTGAGCATAATTTCTTTATTAGTGATTGGTATTTACAAAGATCTTACGTGAATTTTTCATATGTTTTGATGTTACTTTTACCAAATGTGTTAAATATTTTATTGTCAATTCTCTAAGCCTTTTAAATATTAGTAGTCACTTCCTGAAATATTATTAGCAGGCTAATAAAAATTTTTTATTAAAGTTTGTAAGTTTTATTTTAGTTCTTAGATTGATACAATCAGGATGAAATGGTTGGTAGTACAATTTGGATAGTGCTATCTTTATTGGATTTGGAATAATTTATTTAATTTTATTGAGGTACTTTAATATTTTTATTTGCTATAAAGAAAAAATGTATAGCAAATGGTTATTGACCAATAATTTTATTAAATTCAAATGAATTATATTCTGTGTGTCTATTGATCTGAGGTGGCTAAAGAAATTGATTTTGTGTTATTGATATATTATTTACGTAAAACTAAATCAAGTAACATAATTATTAAAGGATGTTAATTTTGGATGTATAGTGGAAATAAAGGCAGTCAAGGTATTATAACAGTTTTTGTATTTTGAATAAAATATCTGTTTAATAAAGGCTGGATTTTTAAAATTTTATTTTGGAAAGTCAATATTATTTATAAATATCAACCATGAACCAGAGTGTTATAAATTCCATCTGTCTCTAAGACTATTATTGTCCTAAAATTACTCCAATAATCATTTGGTTTAATGTTTCATTTTTTGATACCTTGCTGAATGATGAAACCATAGGAATTTCCGAAAATAGTTGATTTTTAATATTTTATTCGCCATGGTTATTATTTAAGCCATTTATTTTAGCTTTACATTAATCAATATATAGGATGATTATGAATTTATTTTAGTTTTATGTACTACCTTTAAGCTGTTATTATCATAGCTGTCAACTTAACTTGCTCAGAAGGCGGGAAAAAAAACATTGAGTTTTATGATTCATACCTTAACTTATTTGATTAGTATCCAATTAGGATTTTTTTTTTTTTTTTTTGCAGAACCTCGCTACTGTCGAGATCTAGTATAAAGTATCTTTATTTAGTTTTGAAACAATAGAGTGTATTGATACTTCATCTTGTTATCAGCTGCTCTAATTATGTGAGCTCTTGAGTCATCATCCAACTTGCTGTTGCTGGATCGTATTTCAGTCTTCATTTTTATTGTGCCTTATGTTGCAGTTATTAGCCTGACTTCTTCTGTTAGTGTCCATTAGATTAGTGTTCATCATCGATAGACACTTTTTAAGTATTTCTGACTTTATTTCTTGAAATATAAAGTTTTAAATGTGAGTATATTTATCTTATTATTAGTTTTTGTTAGTATGTTTAAGAATAATTCAAATAAATTAAATTTTACACACTTGAATAGTACTAGTAGTCTTGTTACATGACACCAGCTTTTCTTAATTGTTTGCTTAATTTTTTTTCTTCCTTGTCTGATGATGTCATTGGCATCCCAGTTAGAATTTTTAGTTCTGAAATGTTGTAAATTTTAAGAAATTTCTTTTTCATTGCTCTTTCCAGTAGATCATGATTAAAATATTACGTCAAAGTTGTATAATTGAATTATTGAAGATAGATATTATTTGTCTTATTTACATTATTTGTCTTATTTACATTGAGTAAGTTAAATATATGTATTTACAGTAAATTCCCGCTAATTTGGACCTGACTGGACATCCAGTTAATTTCAATGACATTATTAAAAATGAAAATAAAATTCCGTTTTATCTGGGCTGGGCTGTAGGTTTTGTGCGTGTGTTCTAATCTAGATTAGCAAGATTTAACACACATACATATTTGTATTAAAACTCCAAATGATACAAATAAATATGTATAGCCATTCTATTTATATAAATATGTAATTTATATCATTGGCTAAAATTATAAAATCCTTTTATGTATACTCTATGTTTAAATAATAAATATATTATTTTGTGTTCAGGAGACCAAATCAAAACCCAGAAAGAGATGTACGCTCCTATAAATCCAACCAACCTCAGCAACATATACCGGTTAGTAGCCACAATCCGGGACCCTATTCAGGAGTATCTGGTTCGAACTACGGCTCTATGCGTTACATTCATCCAACTCCGTATGCTGCTCCTCCTCCTGGAGCTACACCAGTCCCTTATCGTGATATTTATCCATCCAGCAGAAGCTCAGTATGTATTCAAAATGTGTGACATTTTCTAATACCCAATATCGAACTATTTTCTTATTTTTAATTGCTTATTAAATACATATTTATCATTTTTAAGTTCATTTTTTATTATGGATGTTATAAGACATTATTTTTTTGCTTTTAATTTGTATACTTATGCGTTTTTCTTGTTAGTGTCCTTACTAAATGTTAAAGGATTCAATATTTTTTTTTTATTGCATTGTTATCATTAATAAATTTTATAGTAAAATCATTTGTAATTCTTTTAAGGAAAATAAATGTTTATCTTTAGTTCATTGGATATGTTTTAATGGTCGTGTACTTCCAATTGAATTATTTATTTGAAATCTTGTCTGATGAAATACTCAGTCTTTATATTTTTGTAGATTGATAGAATTATTATTATTATTAATGTTTTGTTCATTATTAAATAACTTAAATGAAGGAACATATTGTTTAGGAGATTGTTTGAGAGTTTAGAACAGATTGTTTGATGCCTTGCTGAGTTTATTAAAATAATATTGCAAAAGTATATATTTATCGTTCTCCCTCTAATAAAAAGTGACAAACCATTTTGTTTTGTGTTTTTACTTATTAATTACTATTTCTTTATTAAAGTAACAATTTTTTTTTTTATTTCTTAAAGACATTTAAAATTGTATTAAATAAATACATCTAGTAAATTAGAACATAATGTATATAATGACATGAAAAACACTTGCTGAGTAACTACCCAATGGTAGCACTCTAATGATATGTTTACATTAGGAGATCACGGGGCCATCTTCTAAAGTAACAATAAATTTCAGAATGTTTAGAGCCAGTTGCACTGACCATGTTAACAGACTTTGATTTTACTTATTGTGATTAGTTAATCACTGGCTAAGAGAATTTTTGTTGCACCAAAGTTAATTAGTCTTAACACCTCATTAAGTAATTTTAGCTAGCTAATTTAATGTGATATCTTAATCAAATCCTTGACCGATTTTAAGGTTTTACCTTAAGTGTGGTTACTTTTAACATCAAATATTTGGTTACTGAGAAGAATACAAGTGTAGTTTTTTTGTTTTATATGCAAGACATCAAAAAATATGATTTTGTCTGAAAAAGTTTGTTATCAGATGAAGAATAATTAAATCTTATCAATTTTATTCCTAAAAACAAATTGTATAGAGTTAGGAATGATCCATTTGATTTCTATAATCAATATGAATTCAAATCAAAATATGAGTTATTTTATTTTTAAAGTAATCTTTTGCTATTACTCATTTTATTATTCTCTTTAACAGAATTTGGTAAGTGAAAGAGCCCAAAATGTGGATTTTGTCAGGGAGCAGCTAAAACCAAGAATATCGTTGCTAACTAACGCTGATTATCTATCATCTTTGTCACGCAACAGACTTCATCAGTAAGTTTTATTTAGTGTTATATGATTATATTGATTTTAATATAAATGTTATATCAAAAGTTTATACAGACAGGTGGACAATATTACTGCATATCTATCAAAATTTATTAAAACCAATAATAGTACTTCATTTTAGGATTTTGGCAAATAAATCAGCATATCAAAAATACATTTATTTATGGAAAATATTAAATTTACTACTTTAAAATGCTATAAATATATGTAAATGCTAATGGATAAATGAATAATAAACTAGGATAAATGCTATAATTTCCTTTAAAATTAACTTAAAATAAGTTAATGAAGTTGAGAGAAACTCCTCTGTCTACTTCCTTTGAAATAAATCTTTATGATAAATTGCCTTCTTATGCTCTCAGAGATGTTAATGATTTCCTGAGGTCTGTTTAATCTTTATCAGCTGTTTTCAACTCATGAAGTGTTCTAGAAATGGAATTCAAGTACTAACACACGGTGCTTGAAAAGTATCCAAACATAATCTATATAATATATCAAATTCAGATATAAATTCTTTATTGGTTATTCCAGGGATATGATACCAACCTGCCAAAGGTGCTCAAATACACCGTGATAGTTCTGTGTGGTCATGTTTTATCATGTTGCAGAAATCTGTTTCTAATGTAGGATCCCATTTCTAAGCATGAATTCTCAATTATTATCAGTAAAATATATTATTAATATTAATCACATGGTTAAATAATGCCATGAGTTAATTTTGTCCACTAGTTTATTACATCTAACTAACATTTGTATAAATAATGTGTCTATTTCTAGTATTCCAAGACATAATTTTATTCAAACTTTTTAATATTTGAAACAAATGTTAGAAAAAAGCAAAAAGAAGAATTTAATATTTATAATTAAGCATGAATTCTCAATTATTAGCAGTAAAATATATTATCAATATTAGTCACAATGTTTGATTAAAAAAATTCATCTAAGTTGATAAAATTAATCACATTAAAAAGTCCTGTTAATTCATTTAAGATGTCAGTGTTTCAATATTATCATCTGGATTTGATAAGGCTTGAAGATTGTAATGGTGTCTTACTCAGGCTTTAGTCATCACTTTTACTGTAGGTAGATGATTATCTTATTTACTGTCTATGTGTTGCTCATTCAAGACAAGACCAGATTAGATATTATAAACAATTTAATTGATATCTAATACACTGATAGCTTTATTGTCAAAACATTTTATCACAAGTTATCACTTTTTTTTTTATGATGGAATGTTTTTTTTTTTTCATCTTAATTATAACTGATTATTCACTGAAACTCCTGGATATTGCTTGCAATTCCATTTATTTTAATGTTGCCTTATGGAATTGGTAGTAATACAGTAACCGTTTGACTAATCGTTACTGCTGAAACCATGGACATGGAAAAAAAAAAAAATAGATGTATAACAGAAACAATATTAGAAAAATACCTTAACCTATATTTAGCCATCAATTGGCTTCATAGTGGGTGTAAATATAATTAGTTGACTTGGATATATTATAAAAATAATTATATTAACCTTTTAGTTGCTCGGAGTCTTAATCAAGGTCAGGTGCCATGCGCGCAGTGTACTTAAGGTCTAGCCAACCTTCTGTGCACGGGATTTATTTACTGAATTGCTCCCGTCACTTTGCACTTTTCCACATTTAAATATGCTTTTTTTTTTATAACTGACTTATACATTTTTCTTTAATATGATGTTAGCTCATATTTCAATAAACTGTTAAATATATATATATTTTTAATTTTAAACTTTTTATAATTTATTAATTGTCTTACATTACTTTTACATTTTACTGCAAAATTTACATTATTTTTGTATATATTCTATTATTTTTTTTAATCTTCAGTTGAATTTTTTTTTTATTATTCTTTTTTATTATCAATCAATTTCTGTTAATGTTAGATATGGAAAAAATTTAAAAAACGTTTCATTGTATGATAAATTTGATTACATACACATCAATTTAAAAAAAAATTGTACATTTTTTCGTTTTTAAAAATATTTTTACAATAAAATAGTTTTTGCAAATTCGTTTATAAATATAACAAATATGCATCTGTATGGTAAATTTCAAAATAAGGTTCCACACTTAATGTTGCCTCACAGTTTGGGTGTATGTAATATGACCTCTTTCTTTTATTTTTTTTTGCACATCACACAATTTCTCGTATGGCCTTCAGGGATTTTTTTTTAGGAAGTCCCGATCTGTCAGTCTGATTTCTGACTACTTTCTACTACTGCTTTCGCATGACTACTTTTTTTTTTCTGTTATTTATTTACCATTTCCCTCACCAACTCCAGTTGAAACTCAGCAAACAGATTTTTTTTTAATTTAAAGCTTGATAAATCATGTGGCTGTTTGTTGTTGTAGTCTGGATTGAGCAGGCTGAACTGTTTTTTCTGTTATAATATTATATTATTTCTGTGTATGTATAATATTTGTTATTTTCACATACTATAAAATTTATGAATTTGTTATCCATGAATAGTAAAACATTATAATTGTTTGTAAAATAATATAAAATGTGTATGTAAGAATACGGAATTTCCAATAATATATGTTCTAGGAAACTAAAAAAAAAAAATACGCAGTTTTCCTCTATCTGGAAGAAATTATACGAAAAATCGAAAATTTTAGAATAGCAATTAGTAGTTCCACTAATTTTCGTGTTCAATGTTGTAGTAAAACAAAGTAGGAAACAATGAATAGAACAAACATTTCTATAGCGTGAACCTGCCATTATTCCATATGTGGAACATTACAATTATAATTAGTAAAGTTGATTCTTAGAATTTTTTTTATTTACATTTTCTACAATGAATTATGTTCAGTAATCTATTACAATCAATTAAATCAATATTCACATTAAATTTTATTGCTGTAGAATTAAAACAAACCAAAAAAAAAAATCAATACACCTCTCGAAGTTAAAAAATCAGAAACTTTACCTTTCTATTTACGGAACTAAAAGTGATAAAATCTTTATTAAAAAAGATATTTCAACCTTTGGTTTGATGGAAACAAATTGTTTTTGCCAAAAAATAATGATTAAGTTGCCTCAAAAAAATTGTTTAATATATGATCCATTTCTGGAACAATGGCATCTAAACTTTAATGGGTGGGATTACTGATGTTTTTATCGACACATTACGATGATGTGGAAGACAAGATTAATAACTCATTATTCGATAAAAAAAAAAAAATCAAGAAATAGATACTTAAATAAACGACAGATGCAAGGAGAATTCCTCCTAAAAGACAAATTTCCTGATGAAAAATATAAAAATTATTATAGAGTAACCACAAAACAATTGCATCAATTTGTTTATAAATCTATAGCTGCTGAAGGATGTAATAAATAAAACTCCAAATATTCAAATTAATAAAAAAACATAAAATAATATCCCTTGAAGGAAAAATTAAATATAGCATCTGATAGATAAAGAAAATTTCTGGCAGCTGTGAGTGAAGTCTAAAGCAGGGTAATTGCTGTTGAGGGTTGCATCATGAGAATGTGTTTAGATCACTATCCTAGTTGACTATCATGATTGGCCCTCTCTTCTTTTTGGCGTGGGACACGCCCACTGGAGAACCACACATTTTATTTTCTTCACAACACTCTTTTGTCATCTCATCCAATATCGATGGCAGTTATATGAGGTCATCTGCTCTGCTATATATATTCTCTCATCGCTGTCTCACCCGAGGTGCTTGGTGAAGAAGTCTCTTTTTATCTATCCTCCTTAGGCGTAAAAACTCGTCCTGGATCATCTGGCTGACGAAACGCACAATGACCGATGTTGGCTGGGTGTCTTCCTCTCTCGGTTGCCTTCTTGCCACCGAATCCAGGTCCTAGGAATTGAGCTTCACACCCAAGGCCTCTCCTGATGGATAAAATTATACCCTCAGGTGTTTCCCCTATCCTCATGGAAATCCCCCTTAGCTCCAGCGAATGTGATAGCTGGACCTGCTCTGTGTGGTTTTGTCTTCCTTCCAATTTTTTTGTTTTCCTTCCAATCTCAAGGCTGTTATTTTCTAATAATAATTTTTCGATCATTTTCTCCTGTCTTTTGGAACGTTCCTCCATCCACTTGAGCCGTTCCGAATTTCTAATGGATAGACTTGTTTGTTTGTTGACTGTATTTTTTTAAGCCTTTAATATTGTTGGTTATTTTTCCTTACTCAGCTAAAACAACCACAGAATTTTCCTCCATGCTGCTACCTATAATTGGATTTTTTTTTCAATGCGATCGTATTACAGTAGCCACTTATCAATATCCTTATACTACATTTTCTGCTCTTTTTTTTTTTTTTTTTTCTCTACAGTTCTTAATGGACCTGGGCGTCAGAAACAAGCTTCCACCAGGCTTCCCTATTGGCAGCTATTCTTCTCCATCTTTTGATACCCATGCGGCTGAGGTCCTCCTTCACGTCGTTGATCCACCTCAGCCGGGGTCTTCCCCTAAGACGTGCTCCTCCCTTCGCAGTTATAGAGAAGTTTCCTAGGCAACCTATTCTCCTCCATTCTCTCTACATGGCCTAGCACCACCTGAGCTGGCTCCTTTTGACAATGGCTATAATGTCATCATTTTTATACAGCTCATAAAACTCGTTGCAAAAAAACACTCATTGCCAGCTGTAATTTTGACCTTTATTTCGGCCTGCATTTTGTTCTGGTCAGTGACTATTACTCCAAGGTATTTGAATTCTGTTCCTATTGGAAAAAGGTGCTGATTAATTTAAACATGTTCATGCATAGCTACATTATTCCTTGAGGACTTCATGTAAAGACTTTTTCCTTCATTTATCCTCAGGCCAAGTTGCATTGCTATCGCATCCGTTTCTTCCATAGATCCCGCAAGGGCCGACTATGTGCGAGCACTGATAAGAATATCGTTCGTGTTTGCAAGACATTGAGTAAGTCGATTAAATATTCTTCCTGGATTGGTCCTTATTGCTCTAACAACCCATTCCAGGGATAGATTAAGGAGGACTGGTGATATAGTGTCTCCCTGCTTCAAGCCCTGTTTTACCTCAAAGCTGTTTGAGAGGACGTTTTGAATCTTGACCTTACATTTGGTATCTCTTAGCGTCATTTCTGTGAAGACAATGAATTTTTAAGGAATTCCCAGCATCCCATCCTCATAGCTTTCTGTAATTCCTTTCTGTCTATAGAATCATACTCCTGCTTGAAATCTATAAAGACATGGTGCAGATCCACGTTATGCTTGTATGTTTTCTCTAGCATTTGTCTTACAGCAAAGATGTGCTCCACTGTCGACCCATTTTTCCTGAAACCACATTGATAGTCTCCACAAATTCATTCTCCCCATGACGCTAGTCTCTTACTAATAGCAATGGAAAGGACTTTATATACAGTTGGCAGTAGTGCTATTCCTCTGTAGCTATCACAGTTTAACTTGTCTCCCTTTTTAAAAATAGAACATAGAACTGCAGTGTTCCATTCTTCAGGTATGGTTTCCTGCACCCAAATCATATATACGAGGTCGTAGAGCTGCTTAGTTAATTCTACCCATTTTTATGTTCTTGAAATATTTTGTGAACAAATCGTTAAGCAGAATTGTTGAATTTTAATTGCAATGATAATGTTTGGAAAGCTTGGAAATGAATCATTTTATGTTTAACATTAATAATAATTTTTAAAGATTATTATCATTATTTTTGAATACCAATGCACAATGTCTATTTTGAAGAAATCTGGTCAAATCTCGTTTATCTATTTCATTTTTTAAGGCTCCCAAATCAGATTACATTTTAACTTATTTCAATATCATAATTATTTACTTTTAATGTATTTTCTTTGAAAAAAATATTTTGTGAGAATGTTGATAAATAAAAATTTACATATTCCTTCTTTTTATGAATTGGCAATATTTTTAGGAATGAAAATTACAGAGATCAAATGGGTGGTCCTCCTTCACAAACAGTTGATACACCTATCAAGAAAATAAGGCTTGGCGAACCTAAATCTGATCACCAGAGAAGCCTGCGTGTTGATACTAGGGTAAATATCAATTTCAATATGATTGCAGTAATAATCTTCTCTCTTTTTTTTTTTTAATATTAACAACTTGTTTAAGGATGATTCCCAGCCTGCAGCAACTTATAATCCTCAAGTTGAAGCTATCTCTCCGACGCTTCCTTCAGAGGCCTTGCAAGAAGATGCTAATTTTCGATCTACGAAAGATGATCTTCTGCATGGCATTGCTAAAGTTGATAGGGAAATAACTAAGACTGAACTTCAAATTTCAAAGTTGAAAAGAAAACAGGTAACTTATAACACAGATTTCACTAGTTACAGGATTTTGAAAATTTTAGTGTCTTTGAAGTTAAATTTTGTTATTTAAAAAATTCCATTATCTCTGAAGTACATGCCAGTATAATTAATTTTTATCTCTTGCTTTTAATTCGTGAAAACATGTAATACCAAAGAAAATTTTAACCATTGTTATTATGATTCCTTCCTTGATTTTTTAATTTTAATTTTTGATATAGTTTCTGTTTCACTGTCTGACTAAGTAGTGTACAGTTTTGCTTTTCCTATTCAAAATGTTAAATTTTCTTAAATATATGATTAAAACATCAATTGAAAATTATAATTTTTGTATAACTTTATATAGGTATAATGGTGCTGTAAACATAATGCCTACATTACTTATATAAATTTACTATTTTTAAAGCCTAAATCCTGTCTGTCATCCACATATTTATATTTCAGATAAATGAATTTTGAAAATTTATTTGAGTTTACATTTTTAATTAATGATAATGTAGGTATCTGGCCATCCTTAATATTGCTATTATTTTTAAATAGCCATTCAGAAAACATATTGTTGTTTTTTAATGATACAGTATAGTATAATATTACCATTTTTAGATAAATAATTGTAGTTTCATAATTTTTAAAAGAAATATTTTTATTGATTTATAATATTTACCATTTTAGCAAGAGTTAGAAGAAGCTGCCAAAAAACCAGCTATTAAAAAGGAGGAGGAAGAAGTACCTCAACCTAAACATCAAAGTCCTGCTCAAAAAATATATGCTGAAAACAGGGTATTTTATATAATTGCTTTTCTTTATTCAGAAAGTACACACCAATAACAACTTTTTTGTAAATTATTTATAATGTGATTAGAGTAGAGGTTTATTTATTTATTTTTATGAAGCCAATATTTGATGTGGACATTATGGTTTGAATTTTTTACCTTTATAACTAATTTACAGCAAAGAGATCATAACTATATTTAATCGTAAGGAAGATCTTCCTCAGAAGAATGTATGGAGGAGCCCAAGCTGCTGAACAATTGACAATGGGAATTATATACTATGTTCCCCAAACCTAGCATTGTACAATTCATCATGCATCAAAGACAAATAAGTGAACTTCTGTAACTGTATTTGACCCCCAATGAAGGTGGTTTCAGTGAATCTGAGATTTTCCTTATCAATGCCACTTAAATTCAGCATCTTCAGCACTGAACTATATACCATTCTAAAATACCATATTATATAGCGAAAAGTCATACATCAATAAAAAAATAGTTATTCTGACAGACTAATGTAAACACCTAAAATTAATCTATCAGAATAAAGCCATAACACATTTTTTTTAAAATCATATCACTGCTACACAACACCAGCAACAATTACTTTTTCCAATGGATGCCGGGACACGTCGGAATATTGGGAAATAAAATGGCGAATCAAAACCAGCGGTACAGGATAAATGCTTGATAAGAGTAGTGAGGGAGAAAATAACGAATGACTTGGCAGCATTCTTATGACTTGGGATGTGTCTCAAAAGTTGAGGACCATCAAACAGAAGGTAGCACTAGTTTCATGGTTTGCGACTCTTAAATTTCATTTCGACCACCCTAGCTTAGCAAAGCTGACCAGGTTTAGAAAATCATGGTTTGACCAAATAAATTTCTACACATAATGGGTCCAGCTAAGAGCAGTTACTGTCCAACATGCTAATGCAATCACCCCTCCTCCCCCCCTAAAAATATTGAGGGTATGAAAATATTGTTTGTCCCCCCTCAATAATTTGAAGTAAAACAAATTAAAATCAATAATAAATAACCTACATGAATGAATAAAATGTGCTAATTAAAAATGGTTAAGAAAAGTCGACTAGGGCCTAATATTAGGTATGTAACTATTTTATTGATACCTGAATGTTACTTTTATTTAAATTGTCATTTACATTTAAAGATAATAATATAATTTATCCTAGGATTTTATGATTCATTCACCCATCAATTTTCATGTAATATTCTTATCACATTTTCCGTAGCAAAAAACATGTCGGAATGTGAAAAATGTATTTTTATTAGAAGTTGCACATACTAAGAAATCAAAGATTTTTTTCTCTTTTTTACATTATTTGTTTTTAGCTGAAAGTTCTAGAAATGTACCAATCTTATGAAAACTGTCTCCCCTTCCCCTTGTGTTTAATATAAACAAATATGTTATGTAATCAATTGTATTTTTTTGAGATATTTTCAGGTTTATATAATAAGTAAAACAACAAATAAAAAATAAATAAAAATTCTTACAACTATACAAACATATAAACAAATTAATTTTAAATAGTCAAAGTTATATTCGTTAATTTCACATTAATTAGTAAGAATTTTTAACACATATATAATAAAAACTCCTGCCATTTTCTTTTTTTTTTTTTTTTGGTCCCTCAATTTTTATTTTGGACTTCCCTCCCCCTAATCAATATTGAAAGTCGGCACCTAAGCTTTCAAGTATAAAAGGCTCAAATGATAAAGAAGAAGAAGTTTAAGGTCGCAAACTATTGATGATGGAATTAACTTTCTTCGATCAATAAATAAAGATAATGCCGCCGGTAGTTTATTAAAATTTTTAAATGACATAAAAGTTCTTATACACTGACAGACAAAAAATTCCACCCACTTGATTTTTTCATGTTTTCATCTAAAAATATTTCTGCCGCTTGTAAAAAAAGTTGTATTTGTATATAATACATGGTATTTGTAGATAATACTTAGTATTTATGGAATTTTATAATCTTTTTTACCTTTAATAATCAAAATGTGATTGGGTAAGAAAGATTAGAGAAAAAAAAATTGAAAAACGAACCATTATTATTCTAAAAGAAATTAATTACATCATCGTTTAGTAGCGCGTGTTTCCTCCTCTTGCCTTCACTACTTCTTGAAGACGCCTCGGCATACTTTCCACCAGTCGGGAAATGTCCCTTTGCTGGAGGATAGCCCATTCCTCCCAAAGAGCCCTTTCAAGGTCCTGCAGTGTATCAGGAAGTGTTGCACGCGCTCTTATTCGTCTTCCGAGGTTATCCCATAAATGCTCAATGGGGTTCAAATCTGGAGAACGTGCTGGCCAGGCTAAAACCTCAATATTGTTCTGTTGAAGGAACGTCTGCACTATGCGGGCGACATGTGGGCGTGCATTAGAATAGAACGATCGCCGATTTCGTTGAGGATAGGCAACACATGAGGTTCCAAAATCTCATCTACATAGCGAATGGCCGTCAAAGACCCTCCACGAACAACAACCAATTCTGTGCGGCGCTCCATTGAAATCCCAGCCCACACCATTAAGGAACCACGTTGGAAAGGTTGGCTCTGGGAAAAATTACAGGCTGCAGATCTTTCGTTTCTTCTTCTCCACACCTTTTCACTCCCGTCTGGAGATCGAAGAGCGAATCTTGACTTATCTGTAAAAAATACAGCATTCCTTTCGTCCATAGTACAATGGCTGTGTTCTCGAGCAAAAGCCAGCCGTGTTACTCTGTGAGTTCTGGTCAACTCTGGTCCTCTTACTGGACGAAAAGCCATTAATCCATACTCATTTAATCTTCTCCGAGCGGTACGTTCAGAAATTTGCACACCTCGAACTTCTTCGAGCTGATGAATCGCTTGAACAACGGTAAGGTGCCGGTTTCGTAAAATTCTCAAAGTCAAAAACCGGTCATCCCGTGGTTCTGTTACCCTAGGCCGTCCAGAACCGGGCCTTCTATTGTAAGAACCAGTTTCCCGAAAACGCCTGACGGCGTCTCGTAAAGTTTCATATGGAACTCCGATGGCATTAGCTGCATATCTAATGGAACGTCCATCATCAATAAGTGCCACACCACGCGCAACATCCTCAGCACTAAGAGGCATTTTTAAACTTAATATTGAAAAAATTAAAAGCCGGAGACTAAGAAATGTGCTGCAAGAAACGGCACTGAACTAATGATACTGAATAAACATTTTGATTCCATAGAAAGTAAACATTGGAATCTAGAATCATTTCATTCATTGAATTAAGGATTAAGGATTATTGTCCTCTATATTAACATTCCTAATTGAAAACAAACAAAAATATTACCTATTTATTCATTAAAAACAATAGACCAATCCAAAGCAGAAATATTTTTAGATGAAAAAATCAAGTGGGTGGAATTTTTGCCTGTCAGTGTATATTAAATGACACCTCTTATTCCCACTTGAATGTTATAAAACTATTTTGAATACTTCAGTTTTAAACAATTAGTCGTATCCAGTTTAATATCTTCTTGTAGTGACAATTTAAAAAAAAAAGAAGTGAAATTTATACACTCTGTAGAAAAATAATAATAAAGATGAAAATTGCATGACTGAGATGGGCAGGACACGTCGTTAGGATGGGCAGCAAGGATCCGCCAAGTCAATGGAGTTGGAGCCACTTTATGGTACCAGGAGAAGAGGAAGACAATAGCTGCGATAGGCTGATAGTGTTGCTGCTGATGCAACAAATATGCTGGGGCTTCAGAATTGGATAGCGGCTGCAGGGGACTGAGACAATTGGCTGAAGCTGTTGGAGGAGGCCAGGATTCGACACCGGATCGTAGAGCCACGCTAATAATAATAATAATAAGTAGAAAAATAAAAAATCTGGTGTGTCCACTCACACTACTTTCCTACCTATTTCAGAAAAGTTTTTATATCTTGAGATAAGTCCATTAAGAAACATAAAATTAAATTAGATTTATTTTCCTGAAAATTGATCAAAGAAAAGATTTGAGCATGATTTCTTTGACAAACTAAAGCAGTGTTAGGGCTTTGCATCTATTTTTTCTTTTCTAATATTAAATGGCTATGTATTTTTTATGTCTCTCTCTCTCTCTCTCTCTATATATATATATATATATATATATAGAGAGAGAGAGAGATGCAAATATATATATATATATATATATATATATATATATATATATATATATATATCGTGGGTGATAAATATTCAGGACGCAGTCATTATATACTTTATAATGCTAATGTTTATAATGATTGCGTCCTGAATATTTATCTTATCATATGTAGAACAGTCGACTAACTTCCTTCAATTATATGTATATATATATGTTTTTTGTTTTTTTTTAGAGGAAAGCTCAGGATGCTCATATGCTTCTGGCTAATTTAGGACCAACTATTCATTTAGTAAGTTTTTATCTATAAATTTATCTTATTTAAAGTGGTATATTTAAGTTTTTCTAGTTATTACATATATATTCACCGTTATATATATACTTTAATACAATGCCTGTTATTTTTTCTTGATTGTTATATTCATTTTTTACATGTTTCAATTTTCATTAATATTTTTAAAAATTTTATTTAACTTCATGATTTATAATTATTATTTTTTTAGCCCTTGTATAACCAGCCATCGGATACAACAATTTACCATGAAAATAAAAAGAAGTAAATAAAATAAATTTTATGAATTTTATGTTATTATTTTATTGTTTTCTTTTCTATTAAGATTAATGCTATTGTTTAGACACATAGGGTTCCGGAAAAGACTGTTGGATCATCTACGCAAGAAACATATAGACAGAGAACTTAGAGAGAAGCGATTAACTACAACGTATTCGCATATGGTTCAAGAGTGGCTCAAGAAAGTTGAGAAGGTAAGGAATGATTGATTATAACAAACCTCATATTGATCTTAAGCCTACACCTCAAAAAGAGGAATGTTTAAAAAAAGAAAATAGCTTATAATAAAAAACTGTTTTATACTTACATGGGGAGTTCATAGTCCGTGGATCACCGATTTCAAATAAAATTTTGTTGGTGGTTTTAATATTGAAAAATACACTAGACATATTCCAGTGTTTGTTCTGATGGTCTTTTGGAGCAGAAAAAAAATTATTTCATGCCCAAGCTTCAGATCCTTGCGCTTGGACCGGGTGAGCCAGGACATCTCCCTTTGGTCTCATTAGTAATATACTTACTTCCAAATAGCTTGGCGAGGCCAAAATAGCACCTGTTTGCAGCTGCGATCCAACGTTTCATCTCAGATCCCTAGCTTACGAAGTCTTGCACCCTCTCAAACTTATGTATTCCAATTTCAATATGCCCTTCCTGGCTCTGGTCCTACCAGCATATATTTCTTTTTTTTTCATTTACAGCAAGTCCAAACCTCTTAGCTGCCTTTTCTAGCTGAAGAAATGCTTCCCTCAGTGCAGTTTGGGACCTGGCAACATTGTTGAAGTCATCGGTGTTTCTGAATATCTGCACAGTTTTGTTTAAAATTGTGCCCATTGTTTGTTATGCAGATTCCCTTACCGCTCTCTTCTGCAAGATTAAAAAGCAGACAGGCTAGTGCATCTCTTTGTCTAACTCCCATACTGGAATCAAATTCCTCTGACATGTCTCTGTACTATGGATTTTGTATTTTCTATCATCATTTTGGTAAGCCATATTAGTTTTGGGGGAATATTGAGATCATACAAAGCCCGATACCACTCTTTTCGGTCAGCACCGTCATAGGCCGACGTGAAATCGACAAACAAATTTTGCATTGTGATTTCGATGTTCGTGTGCCTTCTCAAGAATCATTCTAATAAAGAAGATCTGGTCGGTGGTGGATCACCCCTTTCTGAATCCAGCTTGGCATTTCTCAAGAATTCTCTCTGTATGGGGTACCTGCCAAAGATTATATTTGATAGGACATTGTAGGCGCATGGTAATAGTGTGATACCTATATAATTCTTAAATTCAACCTGACCTCTTTTTTTATGGATGGGAATTATTACTCCTCATTTCCATTTTTCTGGTAGGTCTTTTTCCTCCCATATCGATTATATTATTTCATGAAGGATTTTTCCGAGACCTTTATCACTGTACTTCAGGACTTCTGCTTGAATTCAGTCATATACCGGAACTTTGTAATTATTTTATTTATTTATTGCCTCCATATCTTCATCATCAGGTGGCTCTGCATCCATTTCATCATTCCTTCCACACTCATTCTCTTCTTCTATGTTTTCACCATTGCTTTTTTCTTTGTTGAGGTGCTTCCCGAAGTGCCACTTCCATTGATGTATTATAGCATTTTTTTCAGTTAAGAGCATGCCGTGTTCTCCTTTACATGGTTTCATTTTAGCCACTATCCCTCCAGGTTGGGAGAACAGTATACTAGCATTCACACACTGTCCACTATATACAGTACACTACATACACCCCCACGCTACAGACAGAGGTCACATACTCTAGGTTCACCTCTCCTAGGAAGCCAATTATGCATATAAGTGTAATATTTAGTGACAACAAAATAGTGTTGAATTTTTATTGGTGTTATTCCTGCTGTTTTACTGAGGTCTCTCATCTTCAATGGTGCCACCGGTAATCGCCACATCGTTGTTATGACAAGAAGGCAATATGACTTCATTTTGACCTGTAACAGATGATATTTTGTTTCCGTTCCTTGGACGTTTCATTCTGTTAGGGTGAAATTTGGAGTATATTTTTATTTTCCCATTGTTATATGTGATTATTTTGTTAGCGGGATTATATTTTGTCTTGAATTACTTAGGTTTGTTTTCTTGTTGTATATGGTTTTAAGATAAGGTTCGTTAGGAATTTGAGGTTCAGGTTCACGATTTTTATTTAATCTTTCAGCACGTTTTTGTTTTTCGATTCAGTATTTAATGACTTTATGAATTATTTGCAAATCTTTAAAATAGTTATTGCTAGTTCATCAGTTATTAATGTTCATTCTTTAAGTTCATTCAAATATGGATTTCTGAAAGTGCCAAATGTTATTTCCTTTGGTGTCAATATTAAATTTGAAGTGATTGAATTGTTGAACATGATTAGGGCGAGTTTTACACTATGCTCTAACGATATATTTTTGTTCTCTAGTTGGATTGCATTTTAGAGTTCAATGACGTTGAATGGGATCTTTCTATAAGATCTTGAGAATCAGAATGTGCTGGAGTGACATAATATAGCTCAACTTCATATAATTTTAGTAAATTCTGCAGATTGTTATTATTTAATTAATTAATTAATTAATTGTCCATCTGTATTGTTTTTGGAATCGGAAACAAAAAAAAAAGTAAATACTGAGGATATCTTACATTTTTATTTGATTTAGGCTTGTAAGTCGATAAGCTAATAATTTATTTGAAAATAAATCTATCGTAGTTGAGGATTTATGGTTATCATATTGAAAAATATCAATTTGAATTTTTTCAAATGGTTTATCAGGAGTTTGTCCTCATTTATATTCGACTCTAATGGGGTTTCTTTCATGTTTGACTTTTAGACAAATGGGACAATTTTTGATGTAATCGTTAGTTAATGTCTTTTAACATACCAGGCCAGTAGTATTTTCTCCGAATATGTTATTCTGTAATACCTCTATGGTAGGTTTTGCCTATATGGTAGTTTGAAATAATTTTCTTTTGTTCTGCTTCCGTTACAGTATCTAGATTAAACTTTCCGCATTGTTTTAATTTAATATTCTGAAAATCATTATAATGTCAATAAAATTATTTAGCATTGATCTATATTTGCTTTGGAGTATCCTTTCTCTTTTACAAAATATACCGTAAGTTGTTCGGGGTTTTAGATATTTAATACAATATGTCTTCATTTTTATTAAATTGTTGGGATTTCGAAAGAAAAATGCTGTGCTTTACTAAAAATTTTCTGTACGTTTGGTTCGTTCTCTGTTGCCTATTTCTAGAATTATTTGGTTTTTTTCTATGTTTATAATTTTATTTTCTTCACAAATTACAACCTAGTCATTAGAGCTTTCTTGCAAATGAACTGTCATTATACTATCATTATAGGGTATTTCATTTTCGGCAAAATTTTGAATAAATTCATCTAAAAAATTTGCTTCATCTTCAATTGCGTTACACAAATGAATTCAAGAAAGGGAATTTGCAACACTGTTGTTTTTGCCTGATACATATTTTATATCGAATTCGAAATCAGATAAAAGACATTTCCATTTTAATAATTTTGAGTTAGGTACTTTTAAGTTGTGTAGCCATTGGAGAGGTTTGTGATCGGTCTAAATTAGGAATTTTTTGCCATACAAGTAATTAAATGCTTAAATAATTAAATGCATTAAATGGCACTCAAATGCTTGCATGTCCATACTATCGCTAATAGGCTAGTAGTTCTTTTTCTATTAAAGATTTGCGAAATGTTTGCTCCTAAAAGGTTGCTAAAGTTAGATGTGTCTGTGGTTAGTATAAATTGTTTTGAAACATCTGGAAGTTGTAAAATTGGGTTATTTTGTAATCATTTCTTTTAAAGTTTCGAAGGAATTTTAATATTCTTCGTTATTCAAATCAATTTTTGCGTCTTTCTTTAAATTTACAGTTAATGGTTCAGCGATTTTGGCGTAATTTTTAATCCTTTTCCGCTAATAACCAGTTTGACCAAGAAATTGTTTTATTTCTTTTTGATTTTTGGGTAATAAAAAATTCCTAATTGCTTCTAATTTTAATGGGTTAGGTTAAATATCTTTTTCAGATATAATATGTCCTAAATACAAGAATTTTTTGTTTTTCTTTTAAACTCCATTTTCAAGCTGAATTTTCAGATTATTCTCTTTAAGCTTTTCGAAAACTGCTATGAGATGTTTTAGGTGTTCTTCTAAATTATCGGAAAAGATAATAATATCGTCCATGTAAACAAGGATGTTGTTCATTTTGGCTAAAATGATGTTTGAGATCGCTCTTTGGAATGTTGGGGGAGGGCATTCTCAAAAACTCATAATGGCCATTTTCAGTACTGAAGGCCGTTTTTCGGGACTGAATCTGTGTCCATCTCGATTTGATGAACCAAATGAAGCCCACCAAACAGTAATCATCATCTTTTATTGATGAGTTGGGGACTTTAGAAAATGTCCTGCTGCTTCCCAGAAAAAAGTCGAGCAACTGTCCATAATGCCTGCTGTTATCATAAAGTATCCACTTTTCATCATAAGTAACAATTCTGGACAGAAAAGGGTCGTTTTTGTTTTGGCAAAGAAGTGTAGTACAAACTTCATAATGCTGATTTTTTTTGGCAGTCGTTTAATGTGTGTGGGAACCTAACTTTCAAGCTTTTTTACCTTTCCAATTGCCATGAGATAGTCATCGGCGGTCGATTTGCTGGTTCTCAAGCAGTTATTCTGTGATTTTCTTCCACCAAAGCCCGCAGAACATCGTCATCAAGAGAGGAAGTCCTTCCATCACCTTTGTCTTCAAGTCTGAAGTCTCCCTCCCGAAAGTTTTTGAACCACCGTTGAACAGTGCACTCAATAATGCTGCTTTTGCCCCAGGCTTCATTCTTGTTTCTAGTCGTCTGGACTCCATTCCGGCCAAGTTTAAACTCTTAAAAAAAATTATATGAAAATCACTCGTTGACTTCTTAGTAAAGACAGAATTATTTTTAAGCAGCGAGATGCTACAGAGTTAAACAAACATATTATCATTTAGAAGAGGATTAATAAGTGTTGACATTCATACAAATGAATAATCCAGTAAACATTAATAGTTTGTCATATAGAGGGGTATTTTAAAGAAAACTCAAAATCCTGCATTATTTTCCGGAGAACCCAATATATGTTACTATATATTTTTTTATTTTTTTTTTTATAGATTGAAAATTCACAGAAACGGAAAGGAAAAGATGCAAAAAATCGAGAGTATTTCGAAAAAATATTTCCAAAACTACGGAAGCAAAGAGAAGATCGTGAAAGATTTAATCGGGTTGGTGCCCGTGTTAAAAGTGAAGCAGATCTTGAAGAGATTATGGATGGACTTCAAGAGCAAGAAGTGAGTAAAATTTATTTTTAAGTGATAATATTGTCTGTTTAGTATAGAGTTAAATTGTAGGGATTCTTGATCTATTGGTCATGTGCTGTTTATGGTCTCAATGTTTTGTTGTAAGGATATTTAAAAAAATCACTGTGTTAACTCAAGTTACAAAAAGTTTCACTTTTTCATTTCTCATTTAAATTTAATTTCTTTTGTGGTTTATTTCACTTCATTTTTTTTTTCTGCTCCCCCCCCCAAAAAAATCTCTATTAGTTATATATACTTTCATTTTTTTTACATGCTTACTATTATGAATCATCTTCAGGGCGTGCTCGAACCACGCCCTGAAGATGACCCACATGTTTGGGTTGAAACGTTGGCACAAATAAAAAATTAAAACTTTTTTTTTTTAAAGGCTACGTCCTGAATATTTATCACCCATGATATGTAAAATAGTCAACTAGCATTCTTCAATAAATTTACTTCATTATTACATTTTTATGTTTTCCTTGCAATACTTGTTTAATGATTTAACTTTTTTTTTCAATATAGTAAATTTAAATTCCAGTTTTAATTAATTTTACTGACTAAACCATTTTAATTTTAGAAAAATATCATTTATCATTTTGTTCTTTTTCTATTTTCTATTTTGAATGGCATAATTTGTTAATTATATGCTCTTTTATATATTATTATTATGATTATATGTTCTTTTTTATTATTATTTTTGAATAGCATAATTTGTTAATTATATGGACTTATATTTTGTTCTGCTTTAGATGGAGGATAAGAAAATGAGATCTTATGCTGTTGTCCCTCCTCTATTGTTAGATGCTAAACAAAGAAGCATTTATTATGTTAATAATAATGGTCGTCTAGAAGACTTTACTGCTGATTACAAAGAAAAACAATTATTAAATGTTTGGACACAATCTGAAAAAGAGATATTTAAAGAAAAGTATATGCAGCATCCTAAAAATTTTGGAATAATTGCTTCTTATTTAGATAAGAAAAGTGTCTGTGATTGTGTACAATATTATTATCTCAGCAAAAAGACAGAAAATTACAAGAGATTGTTACGTAAGTAATTTAAATATATTTTAATTCTTTAAATATATTGTCAGGAAACAATAGTCTATATAGGCTGTAACCTAAATGATATCCCAAATTTAAGGGAAGTGATAGTAGGGGAAAATTCCTAAATTCTAGAGCAGTTTTCCAGGAGAATGGAAATATGGAGTTTTGCAATGAAAAGTTGTAGATATGATAAAGAACAGGAATAAGGACAGGAAGGCTGGAATTTATTAGTTTTACTGGAATATTATTAGGACCATAATCATTAGTGTGGGATTTTAGGATAGTGGAAAGTAATTCATCGTAGGACAGATGGGAGAACAAGAAGTCTTCAGGATTGAAGTTGTTGACTATTGTTTCGATATTAAATATTACAACTTCAGGATTGAAGTTGTAATATTTAATATCGAAAGTAGGAGAAGAATTGTAACTGAAGGATACGAAATGGTTATTGAGATCATCTGGAGAAAGAGGGAAGGAACTAAGATTATTGGATTCTGGTAGGGATAGATTACAGATTATTTTCCATTTAGATTGGAGCATTGGACAGAGCATTATGAAAGTAGGTGGCTTTAGCAAGTCGGACTGCGGATTGGGTTCCATTGCAAAGCTCCTTGAAAGACGCATAATCCACAGGCAAACGGGTTCAACGGTATTTGCGCCTTGCTGCATCTCTTCCCTTCATCATTTCCTTTATCTCACTGGTCAGCCAAAGTGCAGTGGGATGGCTTAAGGTTTTGGTTTTCAGAGGAGCATGGATGTCTAATATGGATTGTAGGTTTGAGGTCAGGTTGGATACCATAGGATCAATGGAGTTATAGGAATATATGGTGTCCCATCGTAGAGAATTTAGGTATATAGAGCAGAGAATATAGATAGAAATATGAAAATATTTAAGGTTGATGATGAGAGAAGGGATAAATCATTTAGGTTTCGAAATATGATTGCCAGAATTAGGTTCTGTGCTAAGAATATTGTTAACATAAGGAGAATTTGTTTGGAAGAAATGTTATGAACCCACTCTGCATTTCCAGAGGGATAGATCTTATTAGCGCTTGAGGAAGAGTAAATTTGACTATAAGTGAAAATGGCCAAATTTTTCCTTAAGGTTTATTTTGGAGATAATTTATTATTTTGATAATTTAACAATAATTTTGATAATTATCGTGGCATTACATTCCTACAATGCGCATATAAAGTGCTTTCTAATGTTCTTGTCATGAAGCTCCTTCCATTCGATGAGCTATTAATTGGCAGGTATCAGTCAGGATTTAAATAGGGTCAATCTATGGTGGACCAGATATTCGGTCTGCGTATGATTCTGGAAATAGGTGTGGAGTATAAGATGGTCACACACCACCTTTTTATAGATTTCCAAAGTTCTTTTGACAGTATTAAGAGGCCAAAGCTTTATGAAGCCTTGAACGAATTCGGGATCCCATCCGAGCTCATCGACCTAATCCAAATCACTATGAATGATGTTAGGTATGCAAAAAGTTGGGCAAAAATTACCTATAGCTAACAGCTAAATTAGCTATTAGTGGGACCAAGAAGCTAACTTTTAGCTATAGTTGATTATTAGATATTCTTGTAGCTAATAGCTAATTAGCTTTATCTATAATTTCAACTAAAAGCTAATAGCTAACTTTTCAGATTTAATCGATATCAGGGTCGACTATTATGTTTTGGGGGCTGTATTTTATGAAAATACTGTTGGGTTTAAAATTGTGCCTCCACTGCATCAACTTTTTGTAACTTTCGGGATTAAATCGATATCAGAGTCGACTTTTATGTTTTGGGGGACACTTTCTATGAACATACTGTCGAATTTAATATTGCACCCCTCCCCATCCCTTGTATCGACTTTTTGTTATGTTTCAGATTCAGTCTTTTCTTTAAAAGCATCCAAACCTAATAGTCGACCCTGATATCGATTAAATCGGAAAAGTTACAAAAAGTCTATGCTCGGGAGCACTATCTCAAATCCGACATTTTCATAAAAAGCGCCCCCCAAAACATAATAGTTGACCCTAATTTCGATAAAATGAGAAAAATTTCAAAAAGACGGGGGGAGTGCAAATCCCATAGACTTTTCATAAAATGCATCCCCAATTACATTACAGTGGATCCTAATATCAATAAATGAAAAGAATAAATTTCGCTCCACTGTTAGCATTAAATTAGCTTTTAATTAAGTTGATAGCTAATTTAGCTGTCAAAAAACAGTTAGTAGCTAAATTAGCTTCATATTTACCGCCACTAATTTTGACTATTTAGCTGAACGTTAGCTAGTTAAAAATAAGTCCCCCCTTGATAATAAACACCCAACTATGGGTGTGCAGTCCAGGTGCAACTGGATTTATCCCCCGAAATCATCATAAAGAGTACTAGTCGAGTAGTAGGCGATGCCCTAGCTTGCTCATTATATAATCTTGCCTTATAGGGGGTAATAAGAAAGGCTGGAATTGAAGCTACAGTCACCATTTATGATAGGATGGTACAAGTGCTTGGCTTTGCAGATGATAAAGACATTATAGCTGCATCTTTGAAAGCATTAAAAGATGCTTTTCTTAATATAATGGAAGATGCTGCAGCTATCGAATCTCAATTGACTAACTATCAGCCAGGAAAAACTAAATATATGAGAGCTGGCCGGAGAAGAGACAATTCAATCAAAGAGCCTGTCACAATTGGACCGTTCATATTCAAAAATGTTGACCAATTCACATATTTAGAATCAATAGTTAGCTGTTCAAATGCCATATCTCTTGAGTCTGTCTGACGAATACGAAAGGCCAAATGCTGCTGATCCTTAGCAGTAAGGTCTTGTTTCATCAGCCCAAGTGCTAATTTTATAAAATACAAATACGACCTAGACTGTAACCTGTGTTACAGAGACCTGGACCATGAGTAGTTCAGAAGAGAAACTTCTTATCTTTGAAAGAAAGATTTTGAACCCATTAATGAAGGGAAACAGTGGAGGGGGTTATATAATTGGGAGGTATACAAACTCTTTGGGGAAGGGAACGTTGTTCATTTTATAAAATGTGGTCGAGTGAGATGTGCAGGTCACGTAGCAAGGATGAGCGAGGAAGAAATCTTCAAGAAACCTCTATTACAGAAAATGAACTGGTTGAGAGGAAGAGGAAGGCCAAAGCTAAGATGGGAAGATACAGTCCTTAAGGATGCTCATCATTGTGAGTATAGAATTGGAGAGCTGCTGCACAGGATAGAGCTTCTTGGCGAAGGCTCATTGAGGAGACGAGTGTCCACATTGGGCTGTAGTACCATTGGAATGAAAAATTATTTTGGAGAATTTTGCATAAGAATAAATATCGTTTATAGAGTTCTTCAGTGTCAAACTCTTAATCGAAGTGGCTCTCAATTGAATTTTGGCAAATACCAATTTTCTGTTTAATATTAGACTAGACATAAAAATTGTATCTTTAATAGGCAAGTTTAAAAGTGATATTTTGAAATTTGGTTTTAAATTGTTTAATTTTTTGTGTAACTTATTAATATTAAATTGATTGATACTTTTTGTAATAAATTTTGAGGTTAGTGATTTGAAATGGCATTTCAGAAGAAAAATTAAGGATTTTCTTTGTGGACTATTTGTCCATGAAGATGAAAATATCCTGATTATTTGTCATCCTGTTAATTTAACAGTAAAATAAAGTGTATTTTTTAAATTAATTTATTACAGTACATCCCAGGTTACAGAAAAAACAAAACAAAAAAAACTAAAGCTTTTTAATAATTTATTTTAGTTATTTATGCTGAAAACACGGGTTTTCTGGGGTGACTGAATGTCATATCATATATATGATAATAATTAGAAGTGAATCTTAACTTACATTTTTACAAGCTTTAACTTTATTAATATGAAGTTAAAGCTTATCAAACAAGAAAGTTTTTCTATAAATGAGGTATATCTCTGGTCGAGTGATCACGATTAATCCATGATGCTATGAAAAACAGAACAGAGTGAAGTTAATGAATAATATCTTTGTCGGTGCACTAACTATAAGCCCGGTGCCGGGTGTTCCATTTTTGTGTGTTTGTTTTTGTAAGCACCTTAATCATCTTGGCCATCAAGGCGTAATATGACTAAATATATCATCAAAGAAGGAAATACCTACTGAATGGTTCTCACCTTGATGCATTAGAAAGGTGTACCCTTCTCAGCCTAATTTCAATTTTCTTAACCAGATAGTTATTGTTTTTGAATGACCATTAATTTAACTTATTGAACCTGAGTGGTTTCTTTTCTTATTGATTAAGTTTTAAGTTAATGATGGGCTTTAGTCATTATTTTCTCTAATCGTCCATTTTTATTATGCTTACATTGAATATGTCTAATATTACAAATTTATTTCTATCAATTATTTTTTTTAGGTAAGTCTCGTTTAAGACAAAGGAGTAGAAATCCACAGAATAAAGTTAATAGCGGTGCAGTCAGTACTGCTAATTTAGATATTTTAGCTACAGCATCAGGGGTTACAACTAGATTGCAAAGGGAACAATTACAAAAACAAGAACCCTTACCATCAGTAGCTACAGAATGTGATAGCCACCAACCATTTTTGATGGATTCAACTATGTTAATCCCTAGGTAAAAATTCTATTTAAATTAATTATTGAATAATAATATTAGCTCTTATTGTATATTATCTATTTATTTAATTTTAATTTTTTTTTTTTTTTTTTTTTTTTTAGTGAAGTCAAGTCTGAAAAGAAGAAAGATGATTCCAAAGAAGAAAAAAAGAAAAAAGAGGATGAAGAAACAACTGACGATGAACCAATTGATCCAATTGGTAAGTGCTAAGCTAGAACTAGAAGTAAATTTCATAATATTGTTATTAGATTTTTTATACTTTTTCAATTATCAATATCATATCCTAATCTTTCATATCCTCCAATCCATAATAATATCTATAGGTTCTTTTTTTGTAAATTATGACACCCCTTCACTTTTTCCTTTCAAAAAGATTTCTCTCAGCATTATATTTTATGACTTAAATTAAATTATTGGCCATTAATTTATGGGTTAATGGTAAGTTTTATACTTTTCATATAATTTTAAAAATGAGCATTTAATAATACATGTCGAAATTTTTAAAAATTAAAGTTTTATTTGTTTTCTCAACTGTAAGTTAATCTTATATTAATCAACTACATTTATTAATATTTTAATCATAACAGGAATCATGCTTTTATATTAACTAAATTGTAGTTAAAAACGGTAATGGTGTGGTCCAAGCTTCTGAACAGTTAGTGTGTAGCAGTTATACAGCCTTAGTTTAATTAGTAAATTTATTGGTTTTTACACGGAGATTTGTTGTATAAATTAACTAGACTCATCTATTAAATGTGCTGAATCCATGGGTGAGATTGAATCTTTATTTCAAGTCTCACTTATATAGCATTTCCAAGTCAATTTCAACCTTTTCCAAGTCAAATTCAACCTTTTCCAAATCAAATTAAACTTTTTCCAAGTCAAATTCAACCTTTTCCATTTCAAATTATACCTTTTCCATTTCAAATTCAACCTTTTTTTATGTATTTAATTATCTTTAATTCTTCGATGTGTGGGTCTGTTATTGTAAGAGTAGTTTTTGAAAATAACCTCCTTTTTAAGATTACGTGACTGAGTTTCGAATTATTTAAGTTTTTTTGAATTATTCGATATAAGGGTGTATTTTTATGTTTCCCGATCAGTAAATTTTGAAAATGACATCCATTTTATGTTTACGCCACTGTGTTTTGATTTATTTAAGTTTTTAGAATTTATCCAATATAAAGGTCTACTTTTATGTTTCTGGAGCCGTAGATTTTGAAAACGACCTCCATTTTAAGATTAGGACACCGCGTTTTGACTTATTTGAGTTTTTCGGATATTTTTCATATGAGGGTGTATTTTTATGTTTCCGGAGCTGTAGATTTTGAAAACGACCTCCATTTTAAGATCAGGCCACCGCCTTTCGACTTATTTGAGATTTTTATGTTTCTTGAGCCGTAGATTTTGAAAATAATCTCCATTTCATGATTACGCCATTGCATTTTGACTTGTTTAAGTTTTTCGAATTTATCCAATTTAAAGGACTACTTTTATGTTTTCGGAACCGTAGATTCTGAAAATGACCTCTATTTTATGATTACGCCACTGCGTTTTGACTTGTTTAAGTTTTTAGAATTTAACAAGTATAAAGGTCTAATTTTATGTTTCTGGAGCAGTAGATTTCCCCCATTTTGTAAATGACCCAATTTCAAGTTTATGCCACTGTGTTTTGGATTATAAAAGTTTTTTTTTTTTACTTTTTCGGTATAAGGATCTACTTATATGTTATCCGAGACGTATTGAAATTTTTCTAATCTTTAATATTTAAATTTATCGAATAATTAGGCTTCATTTTGAATTTTTTCAATACAAAGTTTCATCAATATGTTTTCGAGTATGAATAAATAAATAAATATCATGAAGCTAAAGTTAAATTAACCATAGAATACAAACTAAAAAGCCGAAAAGCAGCTGGTAATAAATTTAACCTTCCGTATTCAGATTTTTCAGCTTATTGTTCGAAATCTTATAATTTTGTGACAGGAGACCACAACATTAGAAAAGATAACTAAAATTAAATTAAAAATGAGACAATACATATTTTATTTATTTTGATTAGATATTTTTATTTATTTATTGAAAAATAAATTAATCCCTCATATTTTGTTTTTTGAAGGAAAAATCAAAAACACTTAAAAAAACCGAAACACAGTGGCCTAATCTTAAAATGTAAGTCGTTTTAAAAACCAAGGCTCCGGCATCATAAAAGTAGACCTTTAAATTGGATAAATTAGAAAAACTTGAATAAGCCGAAACGCAGTGGCGTAATCTTAAAATGGAGGTCATTTTCAAAATCTACGACTCCGGAAACATAAGAATACATCCTTATATGAAAAAAATCCGAAAAACTCATAGAAATCGAAACGCGGTGGCCTAATCTTAAAATGGAGGTCGTTTTCAAAATCTACGGCTCCGGAAACATAAGAATACACCGTCATATGAAAAAAATCCGAAAAACTCAAATAAGTCGAAACCCGCTGTTTAAAAGTTTTAAGTGTTTGCGGTGGCCTAATCTTAAAATGGAGGTCGTTTTCAAAATCTACGGCTCCAGAAACATAAAAGTAGACCTTTATATTGGATAAATTCTAAAAACTTAAATAAATCAAAACACAGTGGCGTAAACATAAAATGGATGTCATTTTCAAAATTTAGTGATCGGGAAACATAAAAATACACCCTTATATCGAATATATCAAAAAAACTTAAATGATTCGAAACTCAGTCACGTAATCTTAAAATGGGGGTTATTTTCAAAACTAGGTACAGGACAGCATAATACTAGTCCCTAATAAATCCGAATAGGTACAATAAATCGATATCCGTAAGTGAAAATTCTACTTAGGAGAGCATAATAATAGACTTTCCTATTGGAGGGGGTGGGAGGGGATGGCCATTATTTTAAAAAAAATATATAAGATTACAAAAAATTAAAACATTAATTTGAAATGAAAACGGTTGAATTTGAATTGGAAAAGGTTTAATTTGAAATGGAAATGTTTGAATTTGACTTGGAAAAAGTTTAATTTGATCTGGAAAAGGTTGAATTTGACTTGGAAAAGGTTGAATTTGACTTGGAAATGACATAGAAATATCACACTGAAAAAATCTAAAATGTTAAAATAAATGGATATGCAACCGCGTTATCAAATTTTTTTTTTGTATTTTTCAAAAGCTATGCCTTCGATAATATAGTAAGTGGCCTTCATTTCGAAAAAAATCGAATATTGACAAAAATTCGAAAGTTGAATTTGAAATGGAAAAGGTTGAATTTGACTTGGAAACGGTTGAATTTGAAATGGAAAAGGTTTAATTTGACTTGGAAAAGGTTGAATTTGATTTGGAAAAGGTTGAAATTGACTTGGAAATGCTATAGACAGAGGCTAGAACTAGGCCTTATCTAATGCATGCGCTCCCCACTCCCCGTCTCAACTAAAATGTCTAACGAGCTACCTGTAAGCCGACTGAAATCCTGGCTAACTTTCCTAGCTCCTTTCAGCACGGTTCCAGTTGAAATAAAGATTCAATCTCACCCGTGGATTCAGCACATTTAATAGATGAGTCTAGTTAATTTATACAACAAATCTCCGTGTAAAAACCACTAAATTTACTAATTAAACTAAGGCTGCATAACTGCTGCACACTAACTGTTCAGAAGCTTGGACCACACCATTATTTATATATTTAAATACATTGTTCATGAATAAGAGAACCTGTTTTTAACTACACTTTAGTTAATATAAAAGCATGATTCCTGTTATGATTAATAATAATAATAAAAGGCTTAGCGAACCCGAAGGTTCGATGCCGACACCACCAATCGCTTATTACACATCTCCCTCCACCGTTCGCCGTCCAAACCCAGTCCGTTCAGATCGGCTTTAATGCAGTCTTCCCAGCTTCGCTTCGGTCTACCCCTCGGACGCTTACCATTCGGCACAGCAAATATTAACCTTTTAGGAATTCTCTCGTTACTAAGCCCAACAACTTTACAAGCCCATTTGATTTGCCGCGATGAAATTACCTCAATTATATTACCAGGATACAATTCGGCGTTGTGTAACCGTCTGAACTTTCCGGTTAACTCATCCTTCTTCGGTCCGTTTATTCTACGCAATACTCAGCCTTTATATAGTACCCTACAACCCTACCCATCATACCCAGTTCTCAGAGTCCTCGCTTGATTTTTTTATTTTGGATTCCCTGAATAAATTCTTGTCAGCATCTCAGCACCCGGTTCCGTTTCTGTCTTCCCATGATCTTATCCAGATTTCTTACAACATCCCGGTCCCATTTTTTTCTCCTCAAACCATATCCTTTTGAAACCTCAACTCCCTCACCTATGAAGCCCTGTCGCAGGATTTCGACGCTACCCAGTGGGACCCCATTTTTCCTTAAAATCCATTGATGCCATGGTAGAAATCCTTACCAACCATCTTCATACCATCCTCGACTGCCATGCTCCTCTCCTAACTAAAACCATCCGACATTCCCCTGCTCCTTGGCTGACACCCGTTTTGAAAGAGTGCATGAGAAGAAGAGATGCGGCAAGACGGAGGTTTAAATGTACCCAACTCCCGGAAGACTATATCGCCTTCAAGCAACTACGAAACAGCACTCAGTCTGCTATACGCCGAGCCAAATCCTTTCTTTCCACCATTTCTTATCCAACACCACAAACTCCAAGAGCAAGTGGGCTATCCTAAAAAAACTGACCAATTGCAACACACTTCAAAGCTCATTTCCTTTTCTGCTGATGACCTTAACACTCACTTTGTCTCCTGTCCCTTCTCATCCTCATCTCCCGTGACTATACCGACTGCTGTGTGTTTCCCTATAAATTTTAATCCTGATCAATTCTTTTTTTCCATATTACACCTGATGACCTCCTCAACTCCATTCAAAAGTCGCAAACCAATGATTATGGACCCGATAACATCCCACTCAGACTAATCAAAGCCTCACTACCAACCATCCTTCCAATCCTCTACCATATCCACAATCACTCACTACAAAACGCTACCTTTCCTACATCCTGGAAAACCGCACTAGTTCGCCCTATGAAAAAGACTTCCAACCCATCAACTCTCAATGATTTCCGTCCAATTTCTCTCCTCTCAAATCTTTCCAAACCTTTAGAGCGACTAGTTCAAACCCAGGTATCCAATTTTTTAGATCAGAATAACCTCCTAAATCCCA